TATATATATACATCATATATATATTATATATATATATATCAAAACACGCTTTAGTAAGTGTATATATATATATATATATATATATATATATATATATATATACATATATATATATATATATATATATATATATATATATATATAGATAGATAGATAGATAGATAGATAAATAGATAGATAGATAGATAGATATATAGATATATAGATAGATATATAGATAGATATATAGATAGATAGATATATATGTAGATATTTTATTTTGAAAAAAAAACATATACCAGATAAAGATAATATATACCAGGTAGAGATATGCTGAAAATAAAAATCTAAAAGATAGTGTTCAACATGCCAAGAAAAATATTTTAAAAACTTGAAATACTTTTAAAAAATAGCAAGATGAGACAATGAATCGTTGACAATGATTGACAAAGCAATATCAGCATAATTTGAAATGATCATAATTTGTTACTAAACTCAATTTTTTTCTCTCTATATAAATGTTTAAAAAATAAAACATATAACTCAGTATATATAGCTGTAAAATTCAAAACTTTATTCTAATTTTTTAAATGAAAATCATTATCAACTATTTACAGTGTAAATAGTTAATAATGATTTTCATTAAAAAATTAGAATAAAGTTTTAAATTTTTTTTTGAGAATCATGGTAACTAATCTGTTGACACTAATGTATCTTTTTAGTTGTGCATATTTTTCATTGAATTATTTTTGAAAATATGTAATTCTAACAAAGTTCTAAAAATTTAAAAAGTTCAAAACAAGATAAAAATGATAATAGCTTGTTTTACCAACATGTACTATAAATTTAGAACCGAAATCAGAATAAAGATAAGATGCTATATATCACAATAAGTTAGATGTATCATTATTTTTTCTTACAAACTAAACATAATACAAATGCAATAAAATGAATTTCAAAAAAGCTAATCTAGAGATAAATAACAATTATAAAAATTAGGCTATTGAAATATTTTTTCATATAGCAATACCAGAGCTTTAAAGAAATTTACAAAAAACTCTATTCAGTTTAAAACTTTCTCTCTTTGTTTTATCGACTAACTAGATTTATCATAACTTTTTTTAAAAGACAATTAATTAGACGAATCAATTTTAATTTGCTTAAGAACCCATGATAGAAAAGCATGGAAAACAAATTATTTATGTTATTAACAATAACTTAATTTCATGATTTTACTTTTAAAAATAGAAGATATAAAAGCATAAAATAAAATGTTTTAAATGAAATTAAAAAAAAAACTTGTTAATTTAAAAGTCTGACTACAAAAAAAAATACAAATAAACACAACTAGCAGGATAATATAAAACCGTAATGTGTGATATAATAATATAAATACCATTTACCTTAAATTGTAAAATCTTTTTTATATATTGAAAGCAATTTTTAACCTTTAAAACTTTGAATTTTTTTCAATATCTATTTATGGAAAAGAAAATTTCAAATTTAAACTAATTATGTTTATACTAGAACAGGTAGAATTTCCCTACATGTAAAAGGATATACATAATAGGAATTATGTTGCATAACACATGGTGAAAAATTTGAAATTTTTTTTTCGCGCTAAATTTATCTCATTAGGTTTATAGGCAGAGTATTAAAAATGTTTTTATATAAAATAAAATGTTTTTATTAAATAAACAGTAGCACAAAATTTGTTTTAATAATTTGTATGTTATTTGTATCTAAGTAACAAATTACGAAGTTTGATGAAATGTTTCTTACCGCGGGAGTTGTACATTTTTACGCTTTTTAAATAGTAAACCCCCTTAATATAAATCAAATTATTTGTTCAAAATCTCAAAGCTAACGAAAAAATTAACTTTTAAGTAAATTTTAAAAGACATCATTAAAGAGTTTGAAATATAATTAATTAAAACTTCTATTATGGATGTAACTCTTTATTAATTTTTATACAATATTTCAAGGGATTATTGATACCCTCGTTGTCAAGTATATAAATATATATAAAAAACCGTTAAAAACTAAACAAAAATATAAACAAATCAATGCAATAGTTTCTTTTCATTTAAATATCGAAACATAGGTTTCCAAAAGGAAGTTGTGACGTAACCTCCGTTGTCCTGATTTTGAAGGTGAGCATTCATGGCGCTGTATTTCAAGCGCTTCCCTCACTTTTCTGTTAAAATTATTAACCTCTACTTCTAAGATATTTTTATTGTTCCATGTAAAATTGCCATGACAATTTTTTGAATGCTCCGCTATGGCTGAGTAATCCCAATTTCCTTCGTATGTATTTTTTTGATGTTGGTAAATGCGAGATGAGATTTTTAATTTTGTTTCACCGATATAACATTTTTTGCAGGAGCATTCAAGTTTGTACACACCTGGGTAAGAATTTATAGGAAGAGGCGGTTTATTTTTTGAGTTAAGTATGTTGTAAATTTTTTAGAGATTTAAAAACTGGTGTATAACCTGCTTTTTTAAAAGCTTTTTTTAACTTCGGGCTAATTCCTGGAATCCACGGTAAAGATGCAATATTTTTTGATGCAATTGATGAATGTTGAGTTTCAATATTTTGTTTTTTATTATGTAAATTTTTTTTAGTGGTTTTTGTAATATGTTCCAGGTTTGTTTTTTTTATAACCATTTTCAACAAAAACATTAACTAGAAATAATAACTCTTGTTCAATATTATTATCAGAGCATAAATATAATGCCCTATGAACAAAACCTTCGAAAATTCCGTTTATAATTTTTGGATCATGGCATGAGTTAGGTTTGATTTGGACATTAGTTTAAGGCATCTTTACGGTAAACTTTAAAATTGTACGTACCAGTTTTATTGTTAATAATAGTAACATCAAGAAAGTTTAGCATGTTATTTTATTTTCGATTTCCATGGTGTACTGAATATTTTTATGTTGGTTATTAAGTAGTATTAAAAAATTTTTCGCATCTTCAGTAGAGTTAAAACGAAAATGGGAGTCATCGACATATCTTTTAAATGACTTTAATTGAATATTATTGGATATTGCTTGTGCAATAGCATTACTTTCGTAAAACTGTAGAAAACACTCCGCAACTACTACCATAAGTCCTAAACCAATAGGTCCAGAATCTTCTAGTTCATAAATGTCATGTTCAAATAAAAAATAACAATGCAAAAGGCATATATCTAAAAGTGTTTTTATTTCTTCAAAGGTAAATTTTGATGTAAAACTAGGATCATTTTTCAACCTCTCAATAAGGATAATTATCGCTTCCTTTACTGGAACTGAAGGATATAAATTAATGATATCATAAGACACTTGGATTTCATATTTGTCAATATTCCATGAATTAGCTAAGTTGACAAATTGTTGAGAGTTTTTCAAATGTGTATTGTTCTTATTGAGGATGGGTTGTATCATATCAGTTAAGAATTTAGAAATTTTGTATGTTGCCGTTCCAATAGTATGGAGTCATAAAAGCCCACAAACCTGAAAAAAACTACACGATGCTCGAAAATCACTATATTAAGGGGGGGGGGGGGGGTTAGGAGGACAGGGGTATATTAAACGTATAAATTATTTGGTTTGTAATGTACGCTTTAATTATCTTAACGTATACGTATAACGTATTCCTCTTTCAGTTTACAATGTTAGTCGTGATACATAATAATATAAGTCGTAATTCAATTACTTAAATATAAGTATTGAATTACGACTTATATTATCATGTATCACGACTAACATTGTATAAGTATTACAATGTTAGTCGTGATACATAATAATATAAGTCGTAATTCAATTACTTAAATATAACTAACAATATAAGGTAGTCTCTCTTTTCAAACCTCTATTCTGACGTTGAGCATCCTTGACGTCCGAAAACCTGGATTTTAAGGAATAGGCAAATTGGGATGTATAGAGATTGGCGCTTCGCAGTGTACATACATTGACTGATTTATTTAGCCATAGGCACAGTGAGTGTGCATACATCGACTGAGGGTTTGGCTTTGGGCATATTTTCTTGAACTAAATGAATCATCTTTTTCATGTTTGTGGGCTTAAAGGAAACCGTTGAAATAGAGGTTTGATAAGAGAGCTTACCACAATATAAAACTTGGTTTTCAAAAGAAGATCATAAGGATCTTATCATTGGAACCTTAAAAAGTAAAAATATTTATTTATAACATATATATATATATATATTGAAAATTTAACGAAGGAAGATTTAACGTATTTAACATAATACAACATAATAACATTTTAATATATAATTAGATAAAGATTTAACATATACATTTTAGTAGAACTTTAGAATGCTGTCCATAGAAAGAATAAATTTTTTTAATTTAGTTTTAAAATCAGGAAGAGTAATAGAAGGATCAAAGTTTGGTAATACTATTTTGTTCCAAAAGATGGTGCAAAAGGGGTGCACGATATGCAATATATAATTGATTGAACTTTGTTCTACAAAAAGGTTCATTAAAAAAATTATTATTTCTTAATGTGTATTTATTTATTGGTTTTAAAGAAAAAAGGTCGTTAAAAACAAATGAAAATAAATCGTTTTCCATTTAAAAGTAAAATATAAAAATTAAGTATGTTAAGTTTATAAACATCTAGTACCTTGAAATAATCAAAAAAATATTTTGAATGTGAAAAGCGATCCGCATAATTATCTATGCGAATTGCATGTTTCTGACGGCAATAAAGATGTTGTAATTTTCTTTTCTCTATAATTACTGATATTGAATCTATCGCCTTCTTTATGGATAGGGGTAACCCTGGCGAATTTTAAACGTTCAGGAAAAATACCTTGATGAATAAATGCTCTAAAAATTTTAACAAGAATATTTTTTAATTGTTTGCAGCAATCTATAACAATATTTCCGTTTATTTTATCTGCACCAGGTGCTTTATTTTTAAAGATTTGAAAGAATATAAAGTTATATTTGATTTATATTTGATGAATTATATCTTTATCAATAGGTATCAAAAAATCATAAAATGAGGTTTGGGTTTTTGGTATTTTACTTGACAAAGTTGATCCAATTTCAGTGAAATATTTATTGAATTCATGAGCTATTACTTGTGGTTCATACAAGCTATTGATATCGACTATAAACGTTTGTGGAAAAGAGCTTGATCATGTTTTTTGCTTTCCAGAAATTTCTTTCAATATTCTCCAAGTGCGTTTTGAATCATTTTTAGCTTTATTAATTTATTTTGAATAGTAAGTTTTTTTGAATTTTTTCGGATTTTTTCAAACAGATTTTTGTAACATTTGTAAATTTTTTCGTTAGAGCTTTTGTTTAGTTTTGGATAATTTTTTGATTTTTTGAAATTGGTAATCCAGGGATTAAAAAAGTGTTTTGTTTATATATATATATATATATATATATATATATATATATATATATATATATATATATATATATATATATATATATATATATATTGTTATACATATATATATATATATATATATATATATATATATATATATATATATATATATATATATATATATATATATATATGTGTGTGTGTGTATATATATTTTATTTAAATGAAGAAAATAATAGTACTTAAAGTTTTGTGCCTTTCGGCAATCATCAGCTATTAATTACAAATAAAAAACGTTAATTAACGTTTAAAAAACGATTCAAAATTTTACGGTAGAACGAGTTATGACGTAATTTAAAAAGACGCAATCATTTAATCTCCAGTATCAAACGAAGATAACAGGAATTTATTTAAATGTCGACATTTAGATAATATTTCGTCTTTTTTATTAAGCAGGTTGTTTCCATTAAAAGATAAAATTTCTAATTTCTCATGAAGACAAAGTTTGCAGGTTTTTGTTTCTGGTTTGTAAGCTTTACAGCGTTTTATAATTTTCCATCTTATAATAATTTATTTATTTATTTATTTATTTATTTCTGACAGATTTGTATGTTATGATCTGTAGGGGCTCTATGAAAAGATTAGGTTGGTATTTTACTATCCATATCTTCTTTGAGCTCCTGTCTTTTTATGATTTATTTATTTGTATTTTTTTTTTTTTTGTGAACGGGAATTGTAGTTTATATAAACAGCAAAATAAAAAATTTATATATATATATATATAAAAGTTAAATCTTTTTTTAATATTTTAAAATATAGTAAAAACTACATTCAAGTATAGGAGATGTCAACTTACATAAAGCAAAACAAAATGATTTTTTTTATCCGCCTTTTAAACAATTAAGTTACCTTTGAAATCATTAATACGGCCATCTCGAAGATGGGGGAGGGAATCTAATACCTTAAGAACACTATATTCATAAATTATTCGGCAAATTCGGACACTGGAGTCGGCAAAATTGGATCTGTCGACGGCAGTTGGCAAATGTTAGCCAATGAGGATCTTTTTTTTTTTTAATTTTTTAATCAGTAAATTTTTTTTTCTAGGCCATAGAAGGCAAAAAACTGGTACGTTACCCCCTCCTTCCTTATAAATTTCTTTGAGACGGCCCTGGTTGGATG